ACAAGTTTCTTAGCGATTCAATTGTTCCATCCACTGAACCGAAGTCAGAATATTATCTTAGCTTAAAAGAAATAGTTTCTAAAAATATATACAGTGAAATACCGTAGGAAAATTTACGATGCATCAACTATCGGACATAGAAACGAAATCGTGATTTCATGTCTGTTATATATTTACGTTCTATACCATTCTTCGTATTCCTCGAATAAATGGACACCTGTAAATCATTAAATGAGCATATAAATGAGCACCCGTAAACATAAGAAAGACTTTTCTTATTCGAGTTTTTTTATAAACGCAAATCGGAGTAACTCTTATGAATTGAATTCATTCGAAATAGCTATCCAAAACGTAAAACACCATTTCTATTTCGTATTTGAAATAAGAACAATAAACTATTATGGATTTCCAATTTTTTAATAGATTTTGAATCGATTTGCGTTTGAAATTAAATACTTCCAGAAAAATGAGAATATTAGGAAAGAGTCGATCAGAATGATACTTGTTCTATCAACTGAATCAACTCTCGAAAAAGTTAAACATCACGCGTAACTCGAAAGAGCCACATTGACAAAAACAGATGAGATGTAATTGTTTACTTGCATTTTAAATACAAATACATGTCATAAAATTACGTGTCCGAAAAAGGCATGGACAACGAAGGGTTAACATGACGATTAGATGGCACAGTTAATTCGAGACGACATTTCTCGTGGAGGAATTAATCTTCCATTCCCTCTGTTAATTACTTGATCGCGATCGCTGCAAAATGACAATGCGCCTTGCGAGCCGTGGAAGGAAGGGGCGATAAGGCCTGAGGGTGAACGACGGCAAGCGAGAACGCCGTCGGGAGGCATAAGATCCGCCAGAGAGCAACGGAGAACGCCGCTCGGAATGAGGCGAGACCGCACCCTGGGGCAGAGAGAGGGAGAGAGAGTCTTCCACACCAGAGTGTAGACATCGATGCTAATCCGATTATCGGGAGCCGATACCGAGACCCTCACAACAGGGAGTGGAAGGCCCGAGACAGGAGTTTTAAGACTGGTAGAGTAAGCCCGGTGCCTATGCGACCCGTAAGAGTAAGAGAGAACGCCACGTCTAGGACCCTCGAGCCCCGAGCCGGCGGCCGAACTGAACCGGCCCCGACGACGAGAAACTTATTTTTGGTCTTCTCCTTCCCTTTTCCCTCCACGTGTCACGTTTGTCAGAAAATTCATATAACGTAATATTGGCCATTTAAATTTACTTTGGACTGTAACGGGACTGTTCGACCGTCGCGAAACATGCTACAATTGGTTTGCGTATAATATCATTGTTCTGCCCGGCTAGTTTGTCGGGAAGTTGTTGTATGAATCCCGATGGTTTTTGCAAGTGGAATTGCAAAATGTGATATTCATACAACTGCTCACATGAAGAAGGAAGGTACCCGAATGAAGAGTGAGACAGCCGCGAACAAAACAACTTAAATTTTTTATAATATTAAATGGACGACTGACTTAATGAATTTTGTCAGCTCTTCACGCGTGAATAACGATAACTGTTCCAGAGATGATGGTGAAAGCTGACGAGAGATGTTAAATTATCGAGAGACGGAGACTGACTGGTTTACCGAAAAAATACAGAATTCCTCCTCCGGTCGCATTACATTTTTTGAGGAGGTGGTAGCATATTTCTTGCATAGCGATTGGCTGACTGATTTTGAGAAGGGCGGTTAAAATCGAATAGTCAGCCTCGTGATTGGTCGGTAGCTGTCCAATACGGTTGGGTGAAATCGGAAATTTTCTAGTTGCTGTGCAGATGGAAAAAACATGCTGTATGCACGTGTTCATGTTGCGCGCACGTGTTAGCGGTAAAGAATAGGGACGGTCAACCCGAGAAAATTCTAAAGAACCCTAAACTTTCTCGATGGGACGTACGGGGCAATATAATCGTATCGTAGAAAACTAAGATTTACGAACCGATTTCGAAGTCAGAAAATTGTTAAATTGGTAAATGGCCCGATGGCCCAAGCAGGCAGTAAGTCCCGTTCTGGAAATTTGTTTGACATTTCAAAGTCCGCGATGAATTTACATATATGAGTGTCGCGCACGGAACAATCATATTGCAAGAATGTCAATTCCTTCGAAAATATGCTCCAATAGACTCCAAGTTGGGGGTCAATAAATACAAAAAATTAGAAATATTAGGTCGGCACTCAAGAAACAAGTTTTTTGTTTTTCAATAGAAAATACAATCTGCTATTAGGAACACCATATGCAACCCTCATCAAACATATGTTTTCTCGTATTTTTTAGTAAGCTGAAAAAAAAGGGAGAGTAAATTCATTTAATTTACTGCGTTAAATGTGGCGAACTCAATAAACCAGTTGACTCAATTTAGATTTGGATCTATCAATTCTGTTTCAGTCAAGTTTGGAGTTGATTCAACTACAAAATGTGATTTTGCACAAAATGTAAGTTGAACGAACTCGCTTATTGAGATCGCCATATTTAACTCAGAAAATGAGTTGAATTTACTCATTTTTTTCCCGCGCAGAAGTAAAACAACATAAATCTAGAAATTCATGAAAGAAAACATGAATGCTAGTCTTTGTGAATGTCTTAAAATACATTTTATTCTCCTTAAAAATAAGCAGCCAATATGAAACTTTATAAATTTCTTTAGTATCTGTCAAAGTTATTTGGTCCCGTTTTTCTCGCTCGAGTGCAGTCTTAAAGGTTTCTTGGGTGTCATTTTTATACACTCGATGGCCAGTCTGCTTAACGTAGTTTCTAACCATCTTTTCCCGATTCGCCCCGACCAATACACTGAAAAGGAAATCAATTGCTAGAAAATTGATGGTTTAATTTTTCTCAACCTGACCTCAAATACATTACTGTAAAATGTAGTCAAAAGATTGGAGTATGCACAAATTGAACGAATAACGCTGGAAAACCATAATATAAAAAATAAGTTTATGAAGCAATGAGAAAACCACAAGATTTCACGTTAATTTTAAAATTTGATTACATGAACACATTGAACTTACGACAGTAAAAGATTGAACCATAATTGGAGAGAAAATATTATATTGCGGAACGAATTGACA